GTCACTACATCATTAGGGTGAATTTAGAGTGTATAAAAGCCTGAATACCATTTTGAGACGAGGAAAAGTTCGTAGAAATTAGTTTACAAATTTATTGCCAAAATGAGTTCTTTAATTTTGCGCGTTTTTATTATCAAACTATTTTTTTGAAATCGTTCAGTGTATTTGTATTTTTATTAATCTTGCTTCAGTTATTAGTCATTTTTAATTACGGCAGTTGTCAGACCTGAACTAGATGGTTTGGTCTGCTGGCTGTAATATTATTATTTGTACTACAACTGTATGTATTACTTGTATTTTAAATAATAATTGCTGTTAATAATAATATCATAAATATTAGTATACTCTGTGGTATACTACCAAAATCGAAGGTTGGTATACCCCAGTTGGATGTGTATATATATATATATATATATATATATATATATATATATATATATATATATATATATATATATATATATATATATATGTCGTACCTAGTAGCCAGAACGCACTTCTCAGTCGACTATGCAAGGCCCGATTTGCCTAATAAGCCAAGTTTTCATGAATTAATTGTTTTTCGACTACCTAACCTACCTAACCTAACCTAACCTAACTTTTTCGGCTACCTAACCTAACCTAACATATTAAGATAGGTTAGGTTAGGTTAGGTAGGGTTGGTTAGGTTCGGTCATATATCTGCGTTAATTTTAACTCCAATAAAAAAAAAACTGACCTCATACATAATGAAATGGGTAGCTTTATCATTTCATAAGAAAAAAAATAGATTAAATATATTAATTCATAAAAACTTGGCTTATTAGGCAAATCGGACCTTGCATAGTAGGCTGAGAAGTGAGTTCTGGCTATTGGTACGACATATATATATATATATATATATATATATATATATATATATATATATATATATATATATATATATATATATATATATATATATATATATATATACTGTGCTTTAGTTTATGTAGTATTTTTTAGTACTTAGTTTAGTATTTAGGGAAGGATGTATCATTCTACTTTCCATCCTTCGCTCTTCCGTATTATTCAATACGAAAGTCCTTAAGGAAATTCCTGTTTCAATTATTCCTTCGTGGTCTGACACGGTCACATTTTTCATCACGTTTTAATTTTCGTGATTTACACACACACACACACACACACACACACACACACACACACACACACACACACACACACACACACACACACACACACACACACACACACACACACACACCAATATGTCAGACCAATCCTGGAATATGTAGCTCTAGCCTGGAGTCCATTCCTAGTTAAACACAAGACAAAGTTAGAGAAGATTCAGCGGTATGCCATACACTGGTCCCGGAACTGAGAGGATTGAGCTACGAGGAAAGGGTAAAGGAGTTGAACCTCACGTCCCTGGAAAACAGAAGAGTAAGGGGAGACATGATAACCACCTACAAAATTCTCAGGGGAATTGACAGGGTGGACAAAGATACACTCTTCAGCACGGGTGGGACACGAACAAGGGGACACAGGTGGAAACTTAGTACCCAGATGAGCCACAGAGACGTTAGAAAGAATTTTTTCAGAGTCAGAGTAGTTAATAAATGGAACGCACTAAGAAGTGATGTGGTGGAGGCTGACTCCATACACAGTTTCAAATGTAGATATGATAGAGCCCAGTAGGCTCAGGAACCTGTACACCAGTTAATTGACGGTTGAGAGGCGGGACCAAAGAGCCAAAAGTCAACCCTCTCAAGCACAACTAGGTGAGTACACACACATCCAAACCCACACCCACACATATAATATATATATATATATATATATATATATATATATATATATATATATATATATATATATATATATATATATATATATATATATATATATATATATAATAAAAAATTGTCCTAAAACCATACAATCCACTATACTACTAATATAGGAACTTGACTCTACCTAAGGTTTAGGCAACCTAAATTACCCTAAATTTCCATAACAACTTAGCTCAACTTATTCAAGTTTTCGGTTACCAAAAATCCCTTAAACTGGCCAACCTCTGACCATTGACCTAAACTGCGTTACTGTATTTATAAAGAGAAAGGTATTTACAGCAAATATTGTGCTTGCCTGACGCAAAAATATGAGTTTGCTTCAAGCGCATTGACGCAGTATATTCGTTTATTTAACGCGCGTGCTGACGGAAAATATGAATTGGGTTGACGCAAAGACTGATGCAAAATATGGGCTTGGCTGATGCGCGTTCTGACGCAAATTGTCCTTTTGGTTAACCTAAATAATGAAGCAAAAATGTACATTTTTCGTGACGCAAATAGTGACACAAAATAATAGTTTGGTTTGACGCAAAGACTGTTGCAAAAATTAGTTTCACTGACGCAAACTATTAGTTTACGTCAGTGAAACAAAGCAAACATTGGCGCAATATATATATATATATATATATATATATATATATATATATATATATATATATATATATATATATATATATATATATATATATATATATATATATATATATGTCGTACCTAATAGCCAGAATGCACTTCTCAGCCTACTATGCAAGGCCCGATTTGCCTAATAAGCCAAGTTTTCATGAATTAATTGTTTTTCGACTACCTAACCTACCTAACTTAACCTAACTTAACTTTTTCGGCTACCTAACCTAACCTAACCTATAAAGATAGGTTAGGTTAGGTTAGGTAGGGTTGGTTAGGTTCGGTCATATATCTATGTTAATTTTAACTCCAATAAAAAAAAATGACCTCATACATAATGAAATGGGTAGCTTTATCATTTCATGAGAAAAAAATTAGAGCAAATATAATAATTCAGGAAAACTTGGCTTATTAGGCAAATCGGGCCTTACATAGTAGGCCAAAAAGTGCATTCTGGCTACTAGGTACAACATATATATATATATATATATATATATATATATATATATATATATATATATATATATATGTCGTACCTAGTAGCCAAAACTCACTTCTCAGCCTACTATTCAAGGCCCGATTTGCCTAATAAGCCAAGTTTTCCTGAATTAATATATTTACTATAATTTTTTTCTTATGAAATGATAAAGCTACCCTTTTCACTATGTATGAGGTCAATTTTTTTTATTGGAGTTAAAATTAACGTAGATATATGACCGAACCTAACCAACCCTACCTAACCTAACCTAAGCTATATATATAGGTAAGGTTAGGTTAGGTAGCCAAAAAAAGCTAGGTTAGGTTAGGTTAGGTAGGTTAGGTAGACGAAAAAACATTAATTCATGAAAACTTGGCTTATTAGGCAAATCGGGCCTTGCATAGTAGGCTGAGAAGTGCGTTCTGGCTACTAGGTACGACATATATATATATATATATATATATATATATATATATATATATATATATATATATATATATATATATATATATATATATATATATATATGTATATACGCACATTCACATTTATATGTATATGCACATTCCCTCCAATGCGTTATGTGTGGTTTCCTCCGAGGCTATGGGTCCCCCTTCTTCCAGCCAGAGGTGGTACTCCCTTCCCTATTAAAAAAAAAAAAAAAAAAAATATATATATATATATATATATATATATATATATATATATATATATATATATATATATATATATATATATATATATATATATATATAATCAGCTCCGATACAATTAATAGTATGTTGTTCACTCTGTTCACTGTTCCAACGATGTTATATATTGTTCACCCTCTTAAAAGTTATGTTCTTTATTTTTCATGATTCACTGTTCTGGTCGGTGTTCTTTGTTCGAGTAACGTTGAACAATTAGCTTGTTATTCAATTGTTAATTTGTTCAAGTGTTCACTGAATACAATTTTTTTCATTACACAGTGCTTAGTGAGATTTTAGTTGTTCAATTAAGTGAACATTGTAATACATGTTCATTTTTAAACGTTGTGTGTGATGTTGATTGTTGACACTGTTCAGTATGTTCATTACCGTTCTCAATGCACAGTGTTCATTGCAGTGAACACTCTTGCATTAATGACAGCGTTCAATGGTGTAGTGAACATTGTTTATGGTATTGAGTAGTGTTCATTGTTCTATCTAGTGTTCACTATTCAAGTGTTCATTACTCTCTCTAGTGAACAATGATGTTTAATATAATTTGTTCATTCACAAGAGTCAAGTTCGTAACGTTATTCAGAACATAGAATAGTTAACTGTATTCAGTGTTCAGATTGTCTTCACTATTTTGAATTTATCAGTTGATTTTCGTTATTGTGTTCAGTCGTGTTCATTATTATGTTCAATCGTGATCAGTTGTGCTCAGTTCAGTTACCTTTGTTCAATGTACAAAGAGATTGAACATTGCAGTGAACATTGTACCGTGTACAATATGCACTGCAGTAGATGGTGTTCATTATGTGTTCAGTGATGTTCAGTACCGAGTACAGTGTTCAGAGCGAGGAATGAGTCTATAGGTAAGACTTAAGCGAGGCTGTTCAGGTCTGCCGCTGTGAACAAAAATGGCGGGAGTCTTTGTGGCGGGAGACTTTAGGGGTGGCGGGGATAATGGTTTTATTCAGCCCTCAAAGTGATTTGCTCCATTTCGCTAGCAAATAATTCATGGATAAATGGAGGTGCTCTGTCTGCAAACAACAGATGGGACTAAATCTAATCATCTTCGCCACTCACCGCGCTCCCCGCCCACCACGTCCCTATGGGCGGGGCTACAAGGCAGTCAGCTGCGTTTATTGGCACGTAGGATGTAGGTGGAGTCTAGCGGGATGTGGGTGGAGTCTAGCGGCTGAGCGGGGAATCTGATTGGTCCGAGGGTTAAGTGGGTGGAGCGTATTGGCGGTGAGCTAGCTGGTGATTGGTTCTCGCGGTCGAGCTGGGGAGGGAGGCCAGTGTGGTGGCTTGTAAAAATGGTCTCGTCCTTACACTTGTCATCATTATTTATCAGCTAGCTCCTGAGAGAAGAGCACTCCGTCTTCTGAGCCAAGTTGCCGGAGTTTTTGAGAGGAGAGGCGAGTGTGTGTCGCTTGGACAGTCGTTTATCGGAGCGTTGTGCTGTGGTAGTGTTGTGGGGCCGGGCAGGAACATGCCAGTGTGTGAGGCGGACATGTCCGACGCCGAGTGTTTGTCGCCAGGGATCGAGGCTCCTCCCGCCCATTTTAGCGACGATGATGACCCCCGCCCGCCCACAGACGCCCCTGAAGGACAGACGGACGTCGAGGACAAGAAAACCGGCGGGCCGGTGAAGCCGCCTTACTCCTACATCGCCCTCATCACCATGTCCATCGTGCAGGCGCCGAAGAAGCGGGTGACGCTGAGCGAGATCTGCGAGTTCATCATGAACCGGTTCCCGTACTACAAGGCCAAGTTCCCCGCCTGGCAGAACTCCATCCGGCACAACCTCTCCCTCAACGACTGCTTCGTCAAGGTGCCACGAGAGCCCGGCAACCCCGGCAAGGGCAACTACTGGACGCTGGACCCGGGTGCCATAGATATGTTCGACAACGGTTCCTTCCTGCGGCGCCGCAAGCGGTACAAGCGGCAGCATCCCGATTTCCTGAACGATCCGCATGTGTTCTCCCTCCTGGCGACCGGCATGGTGGACCCGTACCAGCTGCACCAGCACCAGCAGCAGCTGCACCAGCACCACCAGCAGCTGCAGCACCATCACCAAGCAGCGGCGGCGGCGATGCTGCTCGGGCCGCACCCGCCCATGCTGCACCGCCCTGTGCCCTACGCCCACCACCCATACTTGCCGCCCGCCCACCTCCACCACCACCACCACGCCCTCACGCAACAGGCGGACTTCCTGCGGCAGCTACGGAATACCCTCGCGCCCGCGTCGCCACCCTCGGGCGGCCATACGCCCATGGGCGGCGTGTTGGCGCCCACACCCGTCAAACCCGTGGCGGCAGCGCCTCCGTCGCCGCCCCTGACCCGCCCTGCGCCGCGGCCAGCCTTCACCATCGACGCCATCATGGGGAGAAACCGGTCGCCCACTCCGCCACCCACTTCACCGCCCACGTGCCGCCCATTGCCTTCGCTGCCTCTAGCCGCCCTCAACCCCGAGCCCTTCTCACGACTGCTAGTGACGCCCTTCTTCTCCCAAGGCCTGGGCCGCCCACTGCCTCCCCACCCACCGATGCCGCCCACGTCTCTCCCGCCCACTACCATGTCTCGGTGAGGCCTTCGGTTTTAGTGGGCGGCGTAGTCCTCGCCGCCCCGCCCACCACATTCCTGTACTCAGGTTCTCAAGTCACAAATCTAAGTCTTTCTGTGTAAATATACAAAACGTAATGTACATAGTCCTGTATATTATTATATATATCTATATATTAAATTTTCTATCTTGCATAAAGAATTTTATCCTTAATATCCTTAGAGTATTTCTTGACAAAATATTTCATATCTCCATCAATCACCTGAAAGATATACAAAGGTCACAATTTATTCTATTATATGATTATTTAATAAGATCTTTAATTATATACAAATTGGGTATATAATAATTAACACTCATAAATACAGTGAATATTAACACTTAATATATACATATGAATTTTATATAAACAGTATAAGTGTAATATACCAAATATACAGTATATATATATACTTTCGATATTATATATACATGACATATATATACAGAGAACAAGGATTAAGGAACTCCATTCATTGTCCCTTTGACAAATCAAATAATTGCCTTACAAATATTATTATATCCAAAAGAAAATATAAAAAAATTGACAATTTTTTTTTTAAATTGATACTTTAAAAATAGTAATGATCCTACTCTAAACTTCGGGCAATATATAACCATAAATTGGAAAATAATTGATATGGTTTTAACACAATAATTTAAAAGTCCAATTTAGAAGGAACAGAGTTATTAGTTATACAATAATAATTAAAGGTCAATAATGATAGTATTCATAATTATAATACTTTTCATGCATACAAATAAAAGTATTTAAAATCTATAATTAACCCATGACCAAATATTTATTGATGTAGAAACAAATAATATTCAGAACTTTTAATTTTATGAATGTCTATAATCCAAAAAAAAAAAATAGAAGAAAATTTAAATTGGAAAGAACAAAAATATATTACAAAATATAAATGATATAATTATTCTGATCATTTGGAATATTTATCATAATTATCATTATTATTATTATTATTATAATTATCATACTCAGGGGAAGATAAGGTGATTATGAGGAGCAAGAGCTAAGCCAGTGTGACTGTACATAAAAGTATGCTCAGTATTAGACTACATTAATAATTATTAATAATACATAAATACATAAAATAATACATATAATAATTATAATTATTGCAATAATTTGGGTAATTATTTTGATTTAAAGTAATAATCATGATCCAAATCACTTGAATAATATGAGTCGATAATAATATTAATAACATTTATTTGTAGGTTTTATTTGCTTTTATAAAATATTGAAGTGATCTAAAATTACTGTTGTTTCTACTATTACTACGTTCATCATACACACATACACATATATATATATATATATACACTCCCATACACATACACACGTACACCATACACATATATACACTCATATGTACTCAAATAAACAACTTGGGTTATTTGACCTTATATATATACTGTATATATATATATATATATATATATATATATATATACATATATATATATATATATGTATATATATACAGGTGATATATATATATATGTATATATATACAGGTGATAGTGGCCCTGTATATATACAGGGCCACTATCATCACCTGGGCCGCTATCATCACCTTATGTATATATATATATATATATATATATATATATATATATATATATATATATATATATATATATATATATATATATATATAATGTGCGTGTGTGTGGTGTATAGGTTCCTGAGCCTACTGGGCTCTCTCATATATATGAAATGTGTGTGTGTGTGTAATTGCCTAACTGTAGTTACAGGATGAGAGCTAAGCTCGTGGTGTCCCGTCTTCCCAGCACTCTTTGTCATATAACGCTTCGAAACTACTGCGTGTGTGTATATACTAATATTTGTCCCTACAGAATCGAGCTGTTAGCTCTCGGACCCCGCCTTTCAAACCAGTCTATTTTTCCTCTATTAAGTCCACTACATTTATTTCTCTTTAACACACACACACACATCAGCAGGACGCAGCCTGTAGCAGCTGTCTAACTCCCAGGTACCTATTTACTGCTAGGTGAACAGGAGCATCAGGGTGAAAAAACTCTCCCCTCCATTCGTTTCTGCTTCAGCCGGGAATCAAATCTGGGCCCTTTAGGACTACGACCCCTGAGCGTATGTAAGTGTGTGTATGAGCAGACAATTCAATCCATACTTACACTGAAGTATGCAAATATACAAGTGAAGTATACACTATGATAAACCGTTCAAACGTGTCCGTTAAATGTGGACATATACGTACATTTCCCGGTGTTTTATAAGACCCACTGATCAACGGTCTCTGCGGGTGATACCACCTGGGCCGCTATCATCACCTGGGCCGCTATCATCACCTGGGCCGCTATCATCACCTTCGCCGCTATCATCACCTGGGCCACTATCATCACCTGGGCCGCTATCATCACCTGGGCCGCTATCATCACCTGGGCCGCTATCATCACCTTCGCCGCTATCATCACCTGGGCCACTATCATCACCTGGGCCGCTATCATTACCTGGGCCGCTATCATCACCTGGGCCGCTATCATCACCTGGGCCGCTATCATCACCTGGGCCGCTATCATCACCTGGGCCGCTATCATCACCTGGGCCGCTATCATCACCTTCGCCGCTATCATCACCTGGGCCACTATCATCACCTTTCCGCTATCATCACCTTTCCGCTATCATCACCTGGGCCGCTATCATCACCTGGGCCGCTATCATCACCTGGGCCACTATCATCACCTGGGGCCGCTATCATCACCTGGGCCGCTAATACCACCTGGGCCGCTATCATCACCTGGACCACTAACACCACCTGGGCCGCTATCATCACCTGGGTCGCTATCATCACCTGGGCCGCTAATACCACCTGGGTCGCTATCATCACCTGGGCCACTATCATCACCTGGGCCGCTAATACCACCTAGGTCGCTATCATCACCTGGGCCGATATCATCACCTGGGCCGCTATCATCACCTGGGCTGCTATCATCACCTGGGCCGCTATCATCACCTGGGCTGCTAACCTCATAACTTGGAGTTATGGGGGTTATCATAACTTGGACCGCTATCATCACCTAGGCACTGCTATATTCTAGCACCTCGTCCTGATATCCCAGCTCCTTATCCTCGTATCCCAGCTCCTTATCCTCATATCCCAGCTCCCTGTCTTCATATCCCAGCTCCCTGTCCTCGTATCCCAGCTCCTTGTCCTCGTATCCCAGCTCCTTGTCCTCGTATCCCAGCTCCTTACCCTCATATCCCAGCTCCTTACCCTCGTATCCCAGCTCCTTGTCCTCATATCCCAGCTCCTTGTCCTCGTATCCCAGCTCCTTACCCTCATATCCCAGCTCCTTACCCTCGTATCCCAGCTCCTTGTCCTCATATCCCAGCTCCTTGTCTTCATAAGACGTTGAATATACATTCACTTCAGCAAGTACAGGTAAAAGGCTTACAATAACCAGCACGTCTTGCAATAATTTGTATTGTAACAATATTTCAAGCTAAGATCTTTGCAAGATTAGCAAAGCTGTAATTCCGAAAATTTACCAACATTGATGTGTGTCAAATTATGAAAAGAAGAAGTACTTAAATAAATTTGTAAATCATTTATTTAAAATATTTAAATACCTATTTATGTTATCAATAATATTAATATTGATGTAAATGATAATTTTAAGGTTGTGAATAATTATACCAAAAAATAGGAAAAGCAATAATCATTTGTCTGTGCAGTTATGGGGGAATACAATTATTGTTTAATACAATATATTGTAGGATTTATAAACTCTACAGTCTAACAACGAAGGTTGTTATCGATCTGCCCTCGCATTTTTTTGCGTCGCATATATAATGATATCTACCACAGCGTAAATATTCACGTGTATTAAAGTTTAGTCCTTAAGAACATAAGGATGACGGAAACACAGTAGGCCTACGGGCCTATACGAAGCTGTACCAATTTATATCCACCCAAACTAATCTAACCTACGTTTGAAACAATCCATCGGTCCCACGTGGGCTGTGTTATTCGGTAATCTATAAATCAACCATCCCCCTGTTTCCAAACCAGTATTTACCCAGGTCTTTCCTGAATCTCACTTTACCCACAATAACAATAACGAGGCTCAAAATTGTAAACACCTAACCCCACACATCTGAAAATTAAAGAAATGACGTTTCGGGTCCGTCCCGGACCATTATCAAGTCGCGCCATAATGGTCCAAAACGACCATTAATAGTTTTTAGGATGAACATTTTTCTCCACGACGACTTAAAACTGGTCCACGACGGACCGAAACGTCAACTGCCGTATCATCAGATGGCTGGACGTCTAATTCAAGTTCAAAGTACGTTTAACGAGACATCAAATTAAAATACATTTCAAATTGATAGAGTAGCTTAGGCTATTTCTACCACCCCTTCCCCCCGCAGAAATTAAATTTCATATCGATTGTCTTCTGTTTTGTATTAATGTATTTAATACCTTTATAAAAATGCCCCGTTTTCCTAAGCCCTTTCATCAACCTGTTCAATCATGTCACTCTCAACTCTTTCAACTTTCTAGAGAATCTCAATCAAATTCTTCAATCACTCGTCATGTCGCTAATATCAGTCATCGCTAAATTCACGTGTGCTGAGCGTCGCTCTGGACACGTTAGGGGGGTTGGTTGGGTTCGTAAGCTTCCGGTTAGGCTATAAACCGTTTCAAATTTGACGGTTGTCAGCCCGTGATGACGGGAAGAGATTATACGGGTTCACTACGACGGTAAACATTGATACCAGGATTTCCAGAGACTAGGATATCCAGATATGATAACGTGTACTAGGCCAGAAAACCCATAGCCTGATATTAAGATATCTAGATACTAGGATATATATATCCGAATGATAACATTGACTAGGCTTGTAAATAATGACATTAAGATATCCAGATATATTAAGTAGTATAAACACTACTGCCGAGATATCCGGATACGATAACATCCACAGCACAACACTACGAATGTCTTAATAATAATAATACAAATAATAATGATAAAGACGGT